TGATGAGAGAGAGAAACTGTGAATTGTAGAGTTCAGCATTGGCAGGTCAGTGAGGACCAGACACCTCAGAGTGTGGTTTCAGAGGATCAGGGAATGAGACACGACACTAACCAATACTCAGACAATACAATGTGTCAGAACACAGACGTGCAAATGGAGCTATAAAAAAGAGTAAGAATGCTGCGTTCTCAGGAAAACCAAGAGAAAAAAGTGTAAATTCTGTATGAAGGGTGAGTATGGGATGTAGTAATGTTACAGGATAGGGAATGAGACACGACACTAACAAACACACAGACATACAATGCATCAGAACATGGTAGCTATGGCTTTTCACTTTCGTAAAAGTGCTGCGTTCTCACGAAAACAAGAGAAAAAAGTAAGTTCCGTATGAAGGGTGAGTATGGGATGTAGTGTTTCCTAAAATGATACACTGTGTATTATACCTAGCTGATAGTAGAGTGAGACAACGGGAAACTAGACCATTATTGTGGGATCAGACACATACATATACACATAAATTCTTGCATGCACATGTGTATTATGCAAATTGCATCGCAGGTTTACACATGTTTTAGTGACATGTGTTGCACTAACAAAAGTGCTTGACAGCTTTGTTGTACATACCAATCTCAGTGTTGAGGTCTAGTCAGAGCTCTTGGCTACACCACTGCCACCATGGTTGGTGGACAAATGAGCTGACTAGCTCTAGAACAACTGTGTATCATACCTTGGTGGTGGCCTGGTGGACATCAGCACCAGCCTCTAGCAGAATGTCCACTACATCAGAGTGTCCTTCTTGACTGGCAACATAGAGTGGACTGAACCATCCTGTACAGTGAGAGAGTAGGAAGTGGGGTTTACTTCCAGTCTGGAACATGTAATTACGTACCAACAGTGTTTGCTGACATGCATGGCTATTTGTTAGCCATTGCCTAGAAATCAATGCACTAATTTCAGACAACTGGAGGGTGTGGAAAGTAAGCCCATGATAAAAGGGGATCACCAGTTAGCAAAGTTGTTACATTCCCTTGACTGGGGTGCATTATTCAGCTCTGAAGCTTGTGCAGATATCATGTTACATCCAACGCCACCTTGTATCAAACTTCCCACATTTTTATGGCTAGCCTCAGCCTCACTACTCCATTGACAACCCGACAGCACTGAGTACACAATCTGTATGAGGCTAGTAGTAAATGATTATGGCTCTGACGCTCAGACACATTGCACAGATTTCGCTACTTTAGTTCACATAGTTATGAGCCTATCTCTACTAGTCTCTGACTGCACACAGGCTATCCATTCACCTTTGTTCTGGTGACAATGGCTGGCTCTGCCTCCAACAGTCTCTGAACTGTCTCAGTATGTCCCTTCTCGGCAGCTATCCTCAGAGGAACAGAACCACTTTGATGAGAGAGAGAAACTGTGAATTGTAGAGTTCATCATTAGCAGGTCAGTGAGGACCAGACACCTCAGAGTGTGGTTTCAGAGGATCAGGGAATGAGACACGACACTAACCAATACTCAGACAATACAATGTGTCAGAACACAGACGTGCAAATGGAGCTATAAAAAAGAGTAAGAATGCTGCGTTCTCAGGAAAACCAAGAGAAAAAAGTGTAAATTCTGTATGAAGGTGGGATGTAGTAATGTTACAGGATAGGGAATGAGACACGACACTAACAAACACACAGACATATACAATGCATCAGAACATGGTAGCTATGGCTTTTTCACTTTCGTAAAAGTGCTGCGTTCTCACGAAAACCAAGAGAAAAAAGTAAGTTCCGTATGAAGGGTGAGTATGGGATGTAGTGTTCCTCTAAAAGATGTTAGCTACACTGTGTATTGGCTCATAATGTGGTGAGCAGTGAGCTTCTTTTGAATCCAGCTTATGGGAAAGCTACTGTCACACATACTGTAAAGTTTCCTAACTTGAATGACGAAATGGAGTTAAAAATATCAATTTCGCGTGTCGCGCTTGTGTGTAGAAACAATGTACATAATATTTGGGGGCAATCCTTAATAAAAACCACAGAACGTTTGGTTAAAGCACTGGCCTGCTGAGCTTGAAGCTGCCCCAAGCTATGAGAACAAAGTGTCAACTGGTTCTTCGAGGCCCAACCCGGGATAGCTATCCTTTCCTAAAAAAAGTCTTTAATAGTTGACACACTTTGTGTTCAAACTATTAAAGATGTGTGCAATTGGTAAACTGTGCTTTCGTATATAAAACAATGTGCATATGTGGGCAATCATCATAAAAACTACAGAACGTTTGATTAAGCACTGCCTGCTGAGCTGCCCCATAGCTTAGAGAACAGAGTGTCGTTGGTTCGAGTCCCACCCGGGATAGCTCTCTTTCCTTCTTAAAATAGTTTGACACACACACTTGTGTCTATGTACACCTTGTGGTTCATGAGGACACATCATAGTGACTCTGTGGTCTACCTTATAGGAATGTCTCTGGCCCCAGCTCCTAGCAGTAGTTTCACCACCTCTGAGTGACCTTTCCATCCTGCATAGAACAAGGCTGTGGCTCCACTCTGTGTTGTATTATAGAGGACCATCATAGCTAATACAAGTGTTAGTGTAATAACATTATGAAAGAGACAAGCATTGGATCATTATCAAGTGTAGCACTGCACTATAGCTACAAGTGTAAACTAGTTTGTTGCAAAAAACTGACTTCCCACATGACATCAACCACACAAAACTTGCACTCTGTGCATGCCGTGTGCAGAGATGCAACGTAGGAAAAAGTATGTTGATTTGACAACCAAAACGTCAACCTTTTTCTGGTGGTTGATGTTGGCTCCTGCCTCCAACAGTCTCTGGACTGTCTCAGTGTGTCCCTCCTGAGCAGCTACCCCCAGAGGAACACCACCATCCTGATGAGAGAGAAGGTCACCCATCACCGACAGTACCAGGGAAATACAACTGTTACACATACATCTCAACCACAATTGACCTGAGAGCATGATAAATGCATTGGCAAGCAGGACAGCGGGACGAAGAGATGATTAGCGGGACAGTCCTCACTGATTCAGGACGCTTCAAAAAGCTAATGTATAAAGGTCTGTCACCAGTCACCAGTAAGTATCAGTATGTGGAGGCTGTAGATATAATATTAGGTAAACTCGCTTTTGACATGTGAGTTTGACCTTCAAATTGGAAAATGGGCCCAAAGAGTACTACTGTCAAATGGCTTGGACTTGTAAAATATGATGTGTGCCTTAGCTTTAAAGTTCTTTTATCTACGGTACCAGTCAGAAAAAACGCACCAAAACACAAAGTGGTTTCTACACACTACACTACAAACATGTACTGTAGCTAATTACAATAATTATACTCTGATCTACACGCGAACCCAAGAGTTTTCTAAGTGTAGCTACACCGTAGCTACAACTTCTACAAAATACAATGACACGTGCACTTTAGTGCTTTTCAGTAGCTATGGCTGAAGCAGGGTGCAGTAGACATCCACAGAGACAATGTTATAAAACGACATAAATTAGGTTATTGCATCTTTGGACAGGGTGGTGGTGTCATGGGCAGGCTACAGTAATCAGACTACGTTAGCCACAAGATGGAGGCTTCAGTAACTATACATGCAACGGAGAGGTGCAAGTGGAACATACTCTCGTGAAGTTGTCTGTTAGTCTAAGTTGTCTGTTAGCAACAGTCGTAGATAGTAACCATAACTGAAAGTAGGAATCAGGACTGTAGTTGTCATCACCTTGTTCTGGTGGTTGCCACATTTATGCAAACAAACAAATCAATAAACCTTGACTGTAAAATAATGCTACATTTTCTACCTATTACACAGGGTTTCACTAGCCACAAGGAGGATCAGGGTCTTACGTACTGCAAGATGAAAAAATTTTGTTTTTCATGGACTTTAGTTGAACCTACAAGGGAGGCAGGTGGGTAGGAGGTGCTGGAGGACCACTAATAGGAGGGCTGGTCCCCCAATCTTCTTGACAAGCTTGCTTTTACTACTATTGTACCACTGCGTCATAATTACTACAAACTGCAAGAAACACTGTTTGACAACATTTACCTACTAGATGATTTGGTACCATAAGGAAATAGTATTATTGTCATGTGTGCATGTATAGTGCAGACATGAATTGTATGTTTTCACTTGAATACAAACACAACATTTCCTCACATACCTTGGTTGTTGCCTGATGTACATCAGCTCCTGCTTTCACCAGAACATCCACCACCTCAGAGTGGTCCCTCTTGACTGGCAACAAAGAGTGGACTGAGACCATCCTGTACAGTGAGAGAGAACTAATGAGACATTCCTGACTAACTACTGACCACTCATCTCTCTCCCTGGACACCAGGAGACCTGACAACCATCTCTGTCAGGTCTCCTCCTCATCCAACCTTCACAAGTGTATTAGCCTACAATTCTCACTATAGGCTAAGACTGTATAATACTGAGAGGTCTCTGACTATCATGGTATAGAATATATACCTCATTGCAGATGCTGACATCAGCTCCATTCTCTAGCAGTAGCTCCACTACTGCTCTGTGACCTCTGATTGAAGCCGAGTACAGTGGAGTCTTGCGACACTGTGTATATACAGACAATAGGAACAGACAACAATACAGTAGAACATGACATGGACTCCAAACCTTGTCAGGAATGAAGACTGCAGCTCCAGCCTTGAGCAACAGACGTACAACCTCAACATGACCT